GGGGAAGCTGTGACTATTGCAAGTGGCATCCTAGCACTTTAAACACATGGTGTGAATGTGGCCCCAGAGCCCTACACAGAGCTGAAGACATTAGAAGTTTTCCACTTGCACCTGAAATAGCTTGTTTGCATCAAGCTTCCTTGCTAGTTCCAAGGTGGATTGAGTTTGAGAAAAGCAGGAGTTTAAGAACAAAAACAAAAGCTGGAAACAAATGAATATTGTGCCTGGACTAGTCCCTCTCAGAAAGGAGAGAGAGAGAGAAAAAACTGCTCTTGGCTACATGAGGAACAATTTGCTCTCTGCCATTCTAGTGGGCTCCAATCTCTCTTCTCTGGGCTTACAGAGGTTATCGTTCTTGTTTCAGAGTGATGCTCTTGCTGATGCCTGATTGGCCAGCTCATTAGTAGACCTGCTCTTGGATGGTTATCACCCACTTGGTACCCTGGGAAGCCAGCCTTTCCTCTCATCTATTATGGTTAAGGAGCAGAGAGTACAGTGCTGATTCGGGCTAATAGCATCCATGGGGATCATTGCTGTACTGAGAGCCCCAAAATATCTCATTTCAATAAGACAAAGAGCCCTTTTATCCCCAGGATGCAAAAAGTAAGACCCAGTGACTCCTTGGACTGTAAATTATTCCAGCCTTTTAAGATGATGACAGCACTTCTGCTCCATCCGAAGGAGACAGTCCTTGGGGGGGGGGGGGTTGATTAAGTTACAGAATGAATGCAATGGATGTGTTGAATCGATAGCATTATAACCACCACTGAATACATGCAAGCCTTTCTTTGCACTCCTAGCCTTGATATGAAGATGCCTTTGCAAGGGAGGGAAAGACAGGCAGAAACCCTTGAAAGTAATGAAGTGTGTGTGTGTGTGTGTGTGTGTGTGTGTGTAAATATAAATCAATATATAAATGTATGTAGTCTTAGTGGAGCAGCCTCCACGGCATACATAGCCGAACTCTTCCAATAGTTTGTGATCCTCTCTCCTCCTGGTGCTTTACCTATCCCACAAGCCCTTCCCTGGTACACTGAAGACTGTTTTCAGGGAGGATTCCCTTATTGTTCCTATACTTATTTCTTCATTTCTCTTTATCACTTAATTTGTATTGTATTGTGTGGTGCTGTTCTCCCTCCCACCACCCCCCTGCTTCAGGAAATAAAATTACATGTGTGTTGTTGTTAAGTTAGTAACCATGAGGTAGGAAGCCAGGCTAGCATCCCAACCAAAGCCCCCTCATTTTCTCCCATGTAAGTGAATGGTGTTATTTACTAATATATGGAAATGGTCAATGTTGCATTAGGAACACCAGGTTGCAAGGAATGCCCACCCCCCCGCAATAACCAGCACCCCCAGCATGCACCACCAACAACAGTCTTGTAGGGAAGTACACAATATTTCTCTCCTTCACGGAGCCCTCAAGGCACATTGTGCATGACCTCCCTGCTTTGCTCTTTGCTTCCTTGCATACCCCACCCATTTTAAGGACTGGCACTTTCCCAGCTCTGTAATAGGTTTTGCTTCCTAGTTAATCTCCAGGTTGGAAAGTGCAGCAAAAAATCCTGGATGCCAAAGTGATGTTCTAGAATAAACATTGAGGGAGCATCACATCCACAGACAGCAAGCCATAAAAGCCACATGAGCCCAGGGAGCAAACCAGGTTATCCTCTGAGAATTTGTGGGGGGCTAGAAATGAACTTCTGGGAGTTCCATGCAGTTTAATGGGCTGCAAGATGGCCCAGGAGTTATAGGACCAGCAGAAAAAGGGTGAGAAGCCTGACTGGGAAGAGGAGGATAGGCAATCAGTGTAGCCTTTGGAAACCTGGTGCTCTCCAGAAGTCCCATCAGCCCCAGCCAAAGTGTCTGGAGGGCACCAGGTTGGCAAAGGCTGCATAGCAGCTGCAGATACAAATAATTCCGAGACTTCCCAACTCCTGGGCAGTCTGGAGTTTGGGGTCAAATATATTGCATGGTCCAGGATGGCCCAGCATCACCCTTTTCCCCAAGAACTACTTTATTTTTAAAAATCTCCTAGTACTGTAAATACATTTTTCTTTTCTGTTACGTTTAACACACATATCTATACATGTAAATTATATTCTATGCAAATTTGTGTTGTGAGGCTGTTCCCAGAGGGCTTTAAGCACCTTGTGTCACCCTTGGGATCTGAGAGAGGCTTCTTCTCTCCACTGCTTCAATGTTATTCAGTGAAGGTCAGGGCTGCCTCTTGGCTTGCCTTTTGTTTTGTGGGAGGGATTCAAGGACATACCCAAAGTATAGGCTGGCATAATTAAAGCACATTATATTGCTCTGTTGGCCCTTTTGCTGTTAGGAAAGTGATGGGGAAATGCATTAGAAAGTTCAGAATGGATGAATGATGAATGACAAGATATATAAACACCTTGCAAGAACATTATGATGAATGTGCATTGACATAGGACTTGCCCATAAAGTTAACTGGAGGTTTAATGAAGTGCAGACATAGTCTAACTATGCATAAGCTTTTTCACCAGCAAATCATGTTGAATGCTCAATAATCGGCACCTGGAGGAGTCACATATGAATGCTGCAGTGTTTTTCCATATTGCCATCAGCACTACTTTTCATTGCTGTTTGAGGTTAATTGTGGGTCCCGTCCCCCCCCCCCCGAGAGAGAGAGAGAATTCTGTGACACTCATATGAGTAATGGAAACCTGCTCTCTTCATTGCTCAGACTGAAAGATGCCTGTAGACGTTGATTCTACACTGCCAAGTTTCAGCAAACTCACTTTTCTATTTTTAGGAAACCTGTCTGAGACTCTGTGAAGCAGACTGATGCACAGTCCTTAGGTCATCTCTGGAATTATATGCTTTTCATCTGCTACCAAACAAGAATTGTATCCTGTGCCTCCAACAGAAAATGGGATGTGTGAGTGAAGTTGCTTCTCCTGCAACTGTTGAAATTCCATTTTTGATGGTCCAAGGACAGTTCCCTTTGTGAGAAATAGTTGAGGCTTGGAGGAGACAATGTCAGTGGTCCCAATTTATCATCCCCTTGAAAAACCTGGTTCTTGCCCACCTTACTGACAGTTCCCTTCATTTCACTAATAGTCTTGGGAAAGGGACTGATGGGAAGCATCTCTGTCCCCGCCCCCTTTCCTGTCCTTGAAATTGAGGGAGACAATCTGAAGAGATAAATCCCTAAGACTCCTCCCCATTGCTCCTGCCTTTCACTGACTCTGCAGAGTGGAGCCACAGGGGGTAAGGCCTCAACAGGTGGAGCATATGCACCTGCCCTTTCCAGCACTGGGGTGGCACTGGCAGAGCCGGGCCAACCCCCCCCCCGATCCTTCTGATTCTGTGTGCAACATTGGACACTTCCTTCTATTATGTACACTGATTGGTTTCAGACACAGGACATTCCCAGATCTAACTGTTTAGGGAAGTTTTTAATGACTGATGTTTTAATGTATTTTTAATCTTTTGTTGGAAGCCGCCCAGAGTGGCTGGGGAAACTCAGCCAGATGGATGGGGTATAAATAATAAATTGTTGTTGCTAGATACCTGGAGATGCTGGGGATTGAATGAGACCTCTGCATGCAACACAGGTCCTCTGCCCACTAAGCTAAGGCCCTTCCCCCACACCAGCAAGAAACCCAGGACAGAAGAGCACGTGTGAGACTTGGAACAGTTGACCAGGTAGAGCAAGTGGGGGCTAGAAAGCCCCCTTAGGGGGCCTCTGACTGCTGGAAGGTCTAGCTGCTTCAGGGAGCCACTCAGCCAGGAGTCCCTTAAAAACGTATTCTTAAACTGAATGTCTCTCAATGGACGATGCAGAGGTGTGTGTAAGCCTCTGGTTTCTTTGTGGATGGGATGTTGCCTACTGTGCAAAGATATGAGTCATGTCAGTTGCTGACATACCATCTACTTGTATTTCCACCCTCTTTGCCTCTGACCTGCACCCACCACAGACATGTGGTGCCCATGATGGGATGTGGCTCTCAGAATCATTAAAACCAGCCCCGGAGTGATGGGTACAGGATTAGGCTAAGACCCAGGAAGGATGGTCTCTAACCTCTATACACCGAGGCTGAGGCTCCAGTCAGTTGACTGTGGGAAGACTGGGAATGGTGAAAGCAGACCCAATCCCTGTTCTCTTCCCTTGTTCTAGGCCTGGACCAAAAGGCACACCAAGTATGACACAGCCTCTTTCAGTTTCATAGTTTCATGAATTTGACACATTATCATTTTATTTATTTATTTGATATGTTTATAAACCCCTCTCATTAACTGAGAAAAAGGCTTCTGGAGTGGTTTACAATGCTCATTAATGAAATGGTCTCTGCCCTCAGGTTTTACAAGCTAAAATTCATGGCACAAAAGGAAAAAGGACTTGGAGGGGGATGAAAAATAGACAACTCAGGCACTAAGGCTTAGTTACAGAGTCTTTACAAGTGCTCTTTCTGTCAGCGAGTGGGGAAGCTTTGGGTCCCCTTGCAGATGGCAGACTCTGTGTGCTCCTCTTCAAGTTCTCCATGTGATTTATTGTCCCACAAGGGGCAATATTTGCACATTGTTTGTTGATCAGGTGCTGATGCAGTACATTTCCCCACAGATGAAAATCAAACAAACATCAATGGCCACATGCCAATTACTGTTGCCAGACTTACAAGTCAAGCTGGGTGCTTTTATTGCTTGTTTCCTCCAATGATGGAGCAGATAGCCTCTGGCAATTGCCCCTTGAGCCAAGAGTCCCTCCAAGCCTAGCTAATCCACCTAGTTGCTGCCCCCAAATCCAGCTCAGGCACCTCTCCATGCACTCACCAAACCTGTGAAAGAAGGTACTGTCTGTGCATTAAGAAACTGCTCCAAGTCCTTCCTGGTGCAAATTATTAGCAATGAGAAGCATGTACAGTACTGTATAATTGGGGCATCTGACAATTGCAGGCATGTCTTGCTATCATGTTAGAGAACATAGGTCCTAGAATGGCAACATTCGGCTAGATTCTGTTATTGACTTTGGGCACCATGGCTTCCTTTCAAAGCAGGGAGAGCAACCCGTTCTGAGTTCAGCCCTGGGCAGGGTCAACTGACAGGAGCTTTGAATGGGATTCTGCAGGGCACACAATGCAGGGTCAACAGCAGCTGAAGGTCCGCCTTTGAAGCCTCCTGTTCTTCAGGCGCTCAAATGAAGTCTGATGACCGATAAGAGAGCTGATGGAGTGATCCCGCCGTCATATTTCTGAACTGCAAAGGAAAAAATTTAAAGGGTAAAGGAAGCACACTTTAGTGCTCTTTAATGGCAGCTAAAAGACTCTGACATCAAAGGGAGTCCAAGGAAGTCGGCTAAATCTTTAATCTTTTCCATAATTATCACTGTTAATGCGTTATTATTATTATTATTATTATTATTATTATTATTATTATTATTATTATTATGCTGTCCTTATCCTGGCTCTTTAGTCCTTGCTGTTTTGCTTTCATTGTTGTTTAATTGTTTTATTGCCATTTTTATGGGACTTGCCACTTTGGGCAGATATGGAGAAGAAAAACCAAGTAAATTTACTTATTTTCCATATTTTATATCCCACCTTTTTCTCCCAGGACCTCAAATTGGTGTTTATAGCTTTCCCCCCCCCCCCCGCGCACTGAATCTTCACAACCACCCTGTGAGGTAGGTTAGGCTGAAAGGCAGCGACTGACTCCAAGGTCTCCCAGGGAGCTTCCTGGCTGAGTGGGGATTTGAACCCTGGTGTTCCAGGTCCTGCCTGACACTCTAACCACTTAAACACATTTGTTTGCCTTCTGTTGGAGGGTTGGGCTCCCCTGCTGGATAATGGCCTGGTGTAAGATGTGTCTCAATAATAGTATTTCCCACCATATAAATATATGGTAATCATATTAAGAAATGCATGTTTGAATTAAAGGTGGCCTTGCAAAGGCAGGGACTATTGAACCAAAGAAGCCAATGTCACATAGGCCTGGGGGGGGGGGGGGGAGAGTGCTTTGGCTACAAAATGTTGAATGCTTGGCTGCTTGAGCATCTTGGGAAGCAACACCACAGAATGGAGCAAAGATAAATGCATTTAAAACAAAAAACAAAACAAAAACCTCTAGATATATTAGGCATCCATTCGTAAAACGCTTGATGCATATGGAATGAGCGGTTCCTCCTGGTACCAAATTTTCATTAGCTTGAGATCAGACAGATGCAATCAAAGTTTTCTTATAATTCATCCTCTGGGAAAGCGGGCATTGCTCCAACTGCTGACGAAGCCAATTTTATCTTTTCCAAAAGTAGCACATTGGAGGGTAACTACTTACGGTCAGGACCTATGAGCAATGATATACTGAACTCTGCTGCTAGGTTTGTTTATGGCCTTGGCTGCATTACTTCTGCAGTTGCTCCCTGATTCTATTCAAAGGGGTTTCTGTGAAAGGGACAGAGCTGAAACAGTATTCTAAAACTTGACATATTTTATCAGAGAGAGTGAGAGAAAATTGTGGAGTTGGAAGTGATCCTGAGGGTCATCTAGTCCAACCCCCTGAAATTGAAATTGAACTACTTTATTGCCACTTGTACAACTTGTGTACAGTGAGATTACACGAGCACCCCCCACTCAGCTCTCTTAGTCTTAATTCCCCTCGTTTACTGACGCACACCCACCAAACCCAAAAGTCAGTTGCCCTGTTGTTATCTTTTCATTCAGCAGCCCAACAGCCCACGGATAGAAGCTGTTTTTTTACCCTGTTGGTGCGACTAATCATGCTTCTGTATCTTCTGCCTGAGGGCAGGAGATCAAGAAAGTGCCGGCCAGGGTGTGAATCATCCCTGAGAATTTTCTTCACTCTCCTGAGGCAACGTTCTTCCGCCATTTCATCCAGCGGATTCCCGGGACAGCCCATAATACCTGCAATGCAGGACTATGCAGCTGTCTCATACGGGGATTGAACCTGCAACCTTGATGTTATCAGTGTGGGAACATTTATATCATTTAGCAGAGTTTAAACCATCCCGTTTGAGTTTATGCAGCGACAGGCGGGTTGCTAACTTAAACAAGTCCTATCAATAATTATACCTTCCTGGTTGATAATCCCTTTCAGTCCCTCTTAAAGAAAACACACATGAATCTGAATCATATTAACATAAACTACTTTACTATCAGATTCATTCAGGTTGTCAACCTGAAGGCAGACTTAGGTTACATAACTGATAAACTATATACTAGATAGTAGTGAATCATGAGAAGACTACATCTGAGCAGTTACCAATTAACACTCCTTGCAGCAACCGACCAACAGGCAAACTGCCTGCCACATAGAGGCAGTTAGTCCTCTCGGACTTGACTGACAGCATTATATCCCACAATCAGCACCATGCTCTAACCAACTAGAACAATCCAGAAGGGCTGTAAGAAGATCCTATGTAATGGCACATGACCTCCATATTACCATGGTGATGTACAATTGGTGGGTTTGGGTTATTAGATTCAGTTCTCATGCCCAAGTTTTGGCAAAGGCCATTGCTCCATGGTCGAGCATCTGTTCTGCATGCAGGAGGTGCCAGCCTTGCCCAATCCCTGGCATCTCCAGGTCAAGGCTGAGAGGAGAGTTCCCTGCCTGAAACTCTGGAGAGCCGCATGCAGTCAATATTGGAGTCAAACTCTAGAGAGCCGCATGCAGTCAATATTGCAGACAACGCTGAGTTAGACGGACTCGTGGTCTGATTCGTAGAAGGAAACTTTCTGTGTTTCATTTCCAATCACCAAAACAAGCTATTTGCTAGACTAACAGCCTGATCCTATGCTTAATTACTTGAAAGTAATTGATGTATTATTTGATTATTGCATTTATATCCCACCTTTTCCTCCAAGCTCAAGGTGGCGTCCATGGTTCTCACCCACCACATTTTATCCTCACAACTACCTTGTGAGGTTTAGCCGGAGGGGCAGTGACTGGCCCAAGGTCACCCAGTGCGGATTCAGAGGTTCCCTCCCCTCCTGTGCTTACTTATTCTCTCATTATTTCCTCCCTGGTCTCTTCCCCCCACCCATCCTCTGACTTTTATTCCCTTTGCTATCTCCATTTGAATTTGGAGTCTGACATCCTCCCATGGTGACCCCCCCCCCAGTTCTTGCATTCCCTGTTCCAAACACACTAAGTCGTTTTGCTCTCCCAACATACCAAATATTCCATTTGATGCCTCATTTTAAATTTTTTATCTAGACATTCGTCAGACTTGTTTCCACCAAAAATTATTGAGCTGAGAATATTAGTTCTGAAATTTATAACCTAAGCAGATTTGCTACTGAAGACCCTTGTTCATCAGTTCTATATTTAAAAATCTCATCTAGGCATTCCCTAAGTTTTACTTTTTCTTAATTCTGTCAGCTCATACTGCTTCTAGCTATGAGTCTAAGGTTTAGCATTTTGGGTTGTTTTTACTCTTGTTTTTAAATGCTTTGTTTCAAGTAATGGGATGGGAACAGCTTTTTTCTGAGCACTGCCCTGGACTCTTCCCTGTAAAACACACAGAATCAAGTATTTCCCTTTCAACAGGAAAAAATGCACTTTGACACAACTGGGGTTTTTATTTCTGCCCACTTTCTCAAAGCTGAGAACTTAGTAAGGATTGGCTTCTCTTCTTATCCTCCATCTTTACAGGTGGCATCTTTTGTATGCTAGGTGTGTAACTGAGTCATCAGAAAGCACAAGTAGAAGCAGGAGCAATGTCACCTTGCCTTGGACGGCAGCTATATAGCCAGAGGGCTTAAAAGTACAGTGTCTAAGAAAGGGAGCTGGTGACTCAGGAAAGTTATCCCTATAAGATGCTGGAGATCTGCAGCCAAAGATCTGGCTATTTCAAAATGATATGTGAATTTTGGCCTTCCTCAGGGGAACCTTGGAAGATGACTTAGGCTGTCAGAAGAATGGTCCATCTTGCTCAGAATTGTGAGGGGGCAACATCTGGCCAGGGAGCCCAGCGGGACCTAAATTAGCACAATGTTGTCCTCCCTCCGCCTCCCTCCCACCTGCCTTATGCCTGAGGCGATATATGAAGTCAGGCTATGGAGCAATGGCTCCATATGAAGCTATGATGAAAGAAGGGTTTGCAGAGTACCTGAAACCACATTGGCAAAGGACGTGGGGTTTGCAAATACCACCCAATGGCTGATCAGTGTAGTTAGGCTCTCAGCAGAATGTGCCTAGTTCTACAGTTCTACAGTTTATGACTGTTTCATAATTTATGACAATTTAGAATTTAAATGTATTTTCATGTAATATTTGATACTTCCAGCTGATGAAGGTGAATACATCGAAACAGGGCCGTCCTGATTTCCAATCCATAACTTGACTTCTGCTCTATGACTGAAACTGAGTCTCCATCTGCAAGCTGATAAATTATAAGCATCAACATTATTGTCGAGTGAAAAAGAGAAAATCTTTGTAACGAATTATTGTGTTATACATATCTCTTTGAGTTTGAAATCTCTGTTAGAGTTTGTAATCTCTATTATAATACATACTTTTGAATGGATTAGTTTTTGTTACTATTGACTATTGAATTGTGAGTAGGGACCACTCCCACTATTGAAACTTACATTGGCCTGAGTTCTTGGTGTGCTTTTTTTCTCAGCAGAATGTTGAGTTCTACAGTTCTACAGTTCAGTAGGCTGCTTTACTGAGGAGGAGGTCTGTGTTGGAGGGGGATTTCCAGCCGGTGGCAGAGGACAGAGTGACTCCAGGAGACATAGGTGTAAAAACCCAAACTAAAACGAAGACTTTATTACTAAGCAAATAAACACAAACTCTGGTGGATGTTATTCCTGCAGGCAGGCAACAAAACTCAGCTTTTTTTCCTTTATAGCAACGGTCACCTGCAGCCAATTAATCCCAGAAACTTCTTAAAGGTATACACACATGTTTCTGTGCCGAATGTCCTCTAACAGTCTGGGCATGCTCAGAATGCAAGAATAATTCTAATTGGCTTGCAAAACTGCCAGGGCTTCAGAGTCAAAAGCCCACACAATTTGGGAGTGGGTTGGCTGGATTACCTATAAGGAGGCAAATGGATATATACAGATTTAAGCAAGTGTCTGGGGCTGCCCTAGCAGTTGCTATATGAATATGGTTTTCTGCCTGGAGATGTTTGGGTTTGGGAATAGTTTGGGATTGGGATTGGCAGAAGTGGATGTAGCAGTTCAAGTGGAAGGTCAGGGGGTATGCAGGTAACAGGAAATCGTCTAGTTTTCTTTTTTATTTTGGGGAAACTTTTAACTCTCTCCCATTTAAGCTCCATGCCCAGGTGACCAGCCTCCCATTGGCAGCAACTGTATTGTACCCATGCCAGTTTCCCACATTTTTGTGGGGATGATGTGACACTGAACGTGTTTTTTTAAGGGAAGGAGAAGGACCGTAGCTCCAGGTAGGCAAAGCCTTCACTGGCTGCTGGAGGAAGCAGCCAAATAATGGCTGATTTAAAAAAACCCCAACAGTTACTTAGTTGTATCTCCAACCCAGAAGTTGGAGGTACTGAAATCTGCATGGCAGCGTTTTCCAAACTGCATCGCAGGAACCTTGGGAGCAGCTCATGGACCAGCGATGGTGGAGAGCTTGTTGGCCACCACTGCAGATCTTCTCTGGCAAGGACAGGGGTGGGTTATCTTCTTCTTTTTATAGTATTCTTCACTGGTTTACACACTTTTATAGATTTTAACTAACCATTTCAAACATTAAAATAAAAGGTTCTTTTGAACCTTCGGACCTTCTTCCCTCCCTGCATTTTAACCAACTGTTTGTTTGTTTGTTGTTGTTTTCTTCCTGTTACAATTACTTTAATTCATATTTGGTGTTAGTGGCCCTGAGCCTGGCCCGAATATAAATAAATTATTATTATTATTATTATTATTATTATTATTATTATTATTATTCTTCATGGGTTCCATATTTAAGATTAATTTTTTTGCATCTTTTACCATTATCCATCTGTTATATATCCAGTTACCATACTTAATTCCACATTACAAATGTCATTACATCGCTGTCAATGATTTTAACTGTTTACAGTGGTCTTTTAAATAAATTAAGAATTTACTCCAGTCTTTTAAAAAAATACCGTACTTGATCTTCCTGGTTTCAGATCTTCCCTGTCTGTTTCACCATCTCCGCATACTCCATGAGTTTCGTCTGCCATTCTCTTTGTTGGTACTTCTTCCTTCCATCTCTGGGCTGGTAGCATTCTTGCTGCTGTCATTGCATACATAAAAAGTATTTTATCCTCTCTTGGTATCTCTTTTTATACCTAACAAAAAGGTTTCTGTTTTTTTAACAAAAGTATTTTTAAACATTTTCTTTAATTTATTATATATCATTTCCCAGAAAGCCTTTACCAGTGTACATGTCCAACTCGTTTTGTACATTTTTGCAATTTTACTCTGTGTTAGATACCAACAATACATCATTTTCATATAGTTTTCTTTTAATGAACAGCATGCAGTAAATTTTATTTCGTTTCCATAACTTTTCCCAAGATGAAAGTTGGATATTATACCCAAATTCTCTAGCCCAGTGTATCATCACTGCCTTGACTTCTTCATCTTTTGTATACCATTCCAAAAGTAGTTTGTACATTTTTGACAGCACTTTCACATTATTCACAGATCTATTTCAAATCTCGATCTCACTGTATGAAAACTGTTTTTTGTCTACCTTAAAAAAATTGTTTAGTGATACTGTAACCAATCCATTAATAATTCTTTTATATCTTCAGTTTTTCTCCATTTTAGTTGGTCTTCTGCCTCTATTAACAAATCTTTATAGGTGGCCCAATCCCCTCTCATATTTAATTTTTTAACTGAAATTGCTTCAGCACCATCATGGTGTTCTCCGTTCTAGTAAGTTTTTGTATCTATCCCACACCTCATAGATTGATTTTCTTCAGGAATCCTTTATGTGCTTTTGTTTTATCATACCATAAATATGCGTGCCACCCAAACCTGTTATCATGACCTTCCAAATCTAATAGATCTGTATTTTTTAACAAAATCCATTCCTACAATATAACTTCAAATCTGGCAAGAAGCAGATTCTTTCTTTAGAATCAATTAGTAACTTATATTTTATTCTTGGTTTCTTCCCCTGCCAGATCAAGTTGGATATTTTTTTCCTGCCATTCTCTGGTGTGTCCCATCCCACTTATCAGGGGTATAGATTGAAATAAAAATAGCATCCTTGGTAGCACATTCATTTTTAGAGCAGATATTCTTCCGCAAAATGATAGTTTCATCCTTCCCCGCACTTCCAGTTCTCTCTTAACTTCTTTCAGGTATGTAATCATCCTTAAATATATTTCTGTTTTCAGCAGTTAACCATGCCCCTAAAGATTTAATCTTTCTTTCTACATTTATTTCTGTGGTCTGTTGGAACAGGTGTGGCTTTTCTTCCAGGGACCACGGCCAGGCAGGCCGATGAGCCCCCTGGACTGGCTTGAGGCCAAGGCGGGCCATCCGGACACGGACTGGCAGCGTCTCTCCAGACTCTGCCCCGGCGCCCGCCCCGCCCAACAAGCCCAAGCCGCGGGAAGCCCCCGCGCCCCGAAATGCCCAGTTCCCCCTTTGCGGGGGGGGGGCTTACTCTCGAGTAGACGCGGCTGGAGCTGGAAGGGGGCGGGGCGTCTCTCCAGGCCCCTCCTCGGCCGGGGGCGGGGGGAGCGGTGGCGGCGGCGGCGCTGCAGCAGCACCTGCCCGGCCGGCGCGGAGGCTGAGCGGCGCCTGGAGGGGAAGGAGGCGCTAGAGGCGGAGGCGGCGCCAGCCAGAGCGCCCCTGCAGCCGGGCGAAGCGGAGCCTGGACCGGCCATGCCGCCGCCCAGGGGCTCCGGCCGCGGCCGAGCGCGCGATGAGGGGCCCGGCGGCCATGGGCGAGGGCGGCGGGCGGCGGCGACGAGGGCGGCGCGGCTCCCCCGCGCGCTGCGCTCCGGGCCGGCGTGGCGGCGGGCTGGGCTGAGCCGCCCTCCCTCGGTAGCGCCGCCGCCGCCGGGCCGGGGCGATGCCTGTGGCCGCCGGGCGAAGCGGCGCCGCCGCCCCGCTGAGGAGGATGATGCCGCCGCCGCCGCCTTTGGCGGGGGGTCCGCGCTCGCTGAGCAGCCTCTCCCGCCTGCGCGAGTACCGCACCCGCTCGCGGATCATGCTGGCCCTCGGCGTCACCCAGATGGTCCTCGGCTGCCTCATCGTGGCCGTCAGCTTCGCCGCCCTGGCGCTCACCACCTCGGCCCGCGTCCGGCACTCCTGCCCCTTCTGGGCCGGCTTCTCGGTAAGGCGCGCTCGGCCCGACGGGCCTTTCTCCGCGGGGGCGGGAGGCGGGCCCGGGAAGTTCCCTCGCCCCTCGGGCGGCGGGCGGGCGAGTCGCGCTTCCCTCCGAGGAGAGCCTCCAGGCTCCGGAGCAGTCTACCTCGGACAGGGAGGGAGGCGGGGCCTTGCTTTGACCTAGGAAGGCTGGTCCGCTCTTCTGAGACGGGTCTCCCAGCCCTGGGGAGCTCCTGCCTTCAGGCGCAGTAGATCGGGGAACATCAGGAGGGCATTGGCCACGTCCCTCTTCCGGGCTCCTTGGTGGCATCTAGTTGATCCCTGTGGGAAGCAGGTTGTTTCACGAGGTTGATCTTTAGTCTAATACAGAAAGCGTTCCTGCTTAGGTGACACTGCTCAGGGCAATTTTCTCACCCCTTTTAAACCCCTGTCCTAACACACACACACACACACCACACATATCCTTCAGATCTGGCTCTCCTAATGATTTTGTCGAATTTCCAGATGGATTGGGATTTTGTGGTGTTTATTTTTTAATTTTAGATTGCACTTTTTTATTTAAAAAATTCCCCTCACATGCCCTCTGAGATCTTCCTATCCTACCCCCTGTGAGGGTGGGGTGTGCCTTCTTGTTGAGAAACCCACTCTCAGGGGATGCCGGCTAGAGACCTCGGGGTTCCACTAGGTGCTTCTGCTGCTGGGTTCAGTGTAACTGGATTCAAAATGTATTCTCTGAACTTGGTTTTGCACCCACTTCGTACTGCATCCTGGGCAAGGGCACTGGGATAATTCGATAGCAGCGATATTACACCTCTCCTCAGACGTTCATTTAATTTGACAAAGACCTTGCGTTTACAGAATTCATAGCATAAAAAAACAGACGTTAACCTTGCTGAAATGAATCATTGTTTTATTTTCATTCATTGGACTGAGGTGCTACCTTTTCTTTGTTCTATTTTCTTGGAGTATCATTTATTTAAGAACTAGGAAGAGTCAAGCAGGTAAGAGTCAACAGGGTAAAATCCTTGCTAGCCTGCAGATAAAAAGATTGTGAGCTCCCACTTGAAGGTCCTGTCCTGAGAGAAGGAGGTGCCCATCTGTGCATCCCAGTTCAGCTGAAAGGACTTTTGAAGCACCTTTAATAGATGGGCTTAAGTCCAAAGGACTTAATTTAACTCAATGGGGCTGTTACACTGGAGGAGGAGCTCCAGATTTGACCAGTGTCAGGGGACAAAGCCCTTGTAAGGTATTTTGTGAGTGGTCACTGTGCGTATTTTACATACAGAGCAGTTTTACATGAATTGCTTGCATTTTTGCATTTAATTGCTGTCTAACTCCCATCTTTTACAATTCTTCTATACCCCTGTATGTATTTTTATTTATTTATTATTGCATTAAAATACCACCTTCTTTTGCCCAAGGAGCTCAAGGTAGCATACATGGGTCTCTTCCTCCTCCTCATTTAATCCCCACAACAACCTTGTGAGGTAAGTCAGGCTGAGAGGCAGGTCTGGCTCAGTGTCACCCTGTGAGCTTCATGACCGAGTGGTAATTTGAACCCTGGCCTCCCATATCCTAGTCTGCCACTCTAACCACTACACCACACTGGCTGCCTGCCTGTCCATGTAAAGCTTATGCCATCGTAACTGTTAGCCTGCAATCCAAATGGCAGGTACCTGAGTGTGAGCCCCATTGACTCAAACAGGACTTACTTCTAAGTAGACATGGTTAGGACTGTTAATTTTTATAAATTTATTTTTTTAATGCAAATTTGTTGCAGGAAGAAATTTGTTGCAGAAAGGTACCACAAGGGTCTTTGTCATTTTTGCTGCAAAGCAGGTCAAACAGTTACACCACTAGAGAGAATTCCTCATTTACCCACCTTCCCTTTTTCAGATTGCTCATGTTAGGACCCTGGAGATTTTGTTTTCTTTTAAACAAAAAGTTTGAATTACCAGTTTCAAGTAGGAAGTGTCCATAGGACGGGATTCCTACAGTACTGGCAAAAGGAGGGAATGTGTTGCTTCACTTCTGTGGATAGACTGAAGTAGTTTGAAGAGGTTTGCAGAATAAACTGCCCAGAGTGAATGGATTGTCCTCTGAGCCTAAGCATGACTTGAGTTGCAATTTCTACTGCTGAGGATCATATTTTTTATTAATATGTTAAGAAATTGCCCAAGAGAAGCAGATATTCACTACTGCTTTGCTTTCATGCTCTTTTCAGCAAACAGAAGGCAACTTTGAAAAAATGAAGCTAGATCACTCAGTATTTGTAGGATTCCTTAAAAGGACCATCTCTTAGCTTGCTTGGTGTTAATCTAGTCTGTTGTTAAAAGTTTCCTAATGGCAAAGTCCTAAGTGTATGCTTCATTTCATTATCTAAATATAGCAAATATTAGAGAGGACTTGTACTGTTTTATTTAATTTTTCATCCAGTGAAGATGGGGAGCGGGTATCGTTAGGGAAATCAAAATGTTTGTATGATGGAGTTAATGTTGGAAGGAAAAATGACTTTATTTGCAAATCAAGTTTTGCTTTTATTCTGATCCCCCTCCCGCTATGGATTCCATTTCTGTCTCTTGCTTTCTTCCTTGTCCCCATGCACCTTTCTGTGTTCATTGCAGAGTAATGGATTGAGTAATCAAGTTCCATTCTGCAGCCTTCAAGTGCTGCAAAAACATGGGCATGCAGCTGAAGGCAGGCTGAGGGCCCAGAAGTTTAACTCAGAACTTCGACCTATCAGCACCCACTTAAACTGGCATACAGTGGTGCCTCGCAAGACGAAAAGAATCCGTTCCGTGAGTCTCTTCGTCTTGCGGTTTTTTCGTCTTGCGAAGCAAGCCCATTAGCGGCTTAGCGCTATTAGCGGCTTAGCGGGCTTAGCGGATCAGCTGATAAGCGGCTTAGCGGATCAGCTGATAAGCGGCTTAGAATCATAGAATCATAGAATCATAGAGTTGGAAGAGACCACAAGGGCCATCGAGTCCAACCCCCTGCCAAGCAGGAAACACCATCAGAGCACTCCTGACATATGGTTGTCAAGCCTCTGCTTAAAGACCTCCAAAGAAGGAGACTCCACCACACTCCTTGGCAGCAAATTCCACTGTCGAACAGCTCTTACTGTCAGGAAGTTCTTCCTAATGTTTAGGTGGAATCTTCTTTCTTGTAGTTTGGATCCATTGCTCCGTGTCCGCTTCTCTGGAGCAGCAGAAAACAGCCTTTCTCCCTCCTCTATGTGACATCCTTTTATATATTTGAACATGGCTATCATATCACCCCTTAACCTCCTCTTCTCCAGGCTAAACATGCCCAGCTCCCTTAGCCGTTCCTCATAAGGCATCGTTTCCAGGCCTTTGACCATTTTGGTTGCCCTCCTCTGGACACGTTCCAGTTTGTCAGTGTCCTTCTTGAACTGTGGTGCCCAGAACTGGACACAGTACTCCAGGTGAGGTCTGACCAGAGCAGAATACAGTGGCACTATTACTTCCCTTGATCTAGATGCTATACTCCTATTGATGAGGCCCAGAATTGCATTGGCTTTTTTAGCTGCCGCGTCACACTGTTGGCTCATGTCAAGTTTGTGGTCAACCAAGACTCCTAGATCCTTTTCACATGTACTGCTCTCAAGCCAGGTGTCACCCATCTTGTATTTGTGCCTCTCATTTTTTTTGCCCAAGTGCAATACTTTACATTTCTCCCTGGTGATAGGGGATTCCCTACTGAGGGGAACAGAAGCAGTGATCTGTGGGCCTGACAAGATGTCTCGGGAAGTGTGCTGTCTCCCCGGGGCTAAGATCCAAGATGTAACTGAACGACTGCAAGGAATCATAAAACCCACTGACAAATACCCCTTCCTCTTGGTTCATGTGGGAACCAATGACACTGCAAGCAATAGCCTCCAGAAGATCAAAAGAGATTACGAGGCTCTGGGCAGGAAATTGAAGCAATTAAATGCACAAATTGTCATCTCATCTGTCCTCCCAGTTGAACGACGTGGCCCAGGGAGAGAGGGAAAAATAGTGGAAGTGAACAACTGGCTTCGCAAATGGTGCAAACAGGAACGGTTTGGATTCTTAGATCATGGAATGCAGTTTCTTGAAGATGGACTTCTGGCAAGCGATGGGCTGCACCTCACAACGGTTGGGAGGAATGTTTTTGCAAAAAATCTCAGAAACCTCATCAGGAGGGCTTTAAACTGACTAATGTGGGGGAGGGAGACAGTGCTCCTGAAGGTAGGAGTCTATCAATTGATGAAGATGATCATCCAAATGTCATAGACCGAATGGAGCAAAGAGCATGCAGACCTAGTGGTGGGAGGAGAAAATCCTTAAATAAGAGACACGGGGGAATGATTAATGGACTTCAATGTCTGTACACTAATGCGCAAAGCATGGGAAATAAACAAGATGAGCTTGAGCTCCTGGTACAGCAAACTAAATATGACATAATAGG